AAAATCATCTTCATAAACCCAGATCTCATAATCAGTATTAATAAACATGATAAGGGATTAAACAGATAAAGTGTAACATATTATTGCAGAAGATTATAAATAAAGTCAAAAATTATAAATATATAATGCTAATTTAACTAAATGAATAAATTGAGAAAAGAGACTTATCTTATAATTATGAATATTTATGGGAAGGAAATTGGAATAACTAAAGAATGAATCTTGATTCTTGAAGGTGGGAAGTGCGTCATTTTTTACGCTTTTTCTGCTTAAAATTTAAAAAAATACGAGAAAAATAAAATAAAAAAATAAAAAAAAATAAAAAAAAAAATGCTCTTTGCCGAGGGAGGAGCTGAGGTGGATCTTAAAGGCAGGTGCCTTACCTTTTAAGGGTACATTCTAAATTTTCCAAATTACCCCTTACCTCTGATATTTGGTGTTGCATTTGTGTAATCTTGAGTTGTACACTACTACACTTAACTCGTATTACTACCTCCGTTTCTTATTATATGCAAGTGCAACAAAAAAATGTTTTATGTCTTACAAATAATACCCTTTTATTGCACATAATGAGAAAGTCAAGAAACAGAGGCAGTAGATGTTTAGAACCAACCCTTCTATGCTAAATTTGGGTAACTAATTGTATTGAAGATTTATGCAACTTTATAGATCAAAGACCTAACATCTAGGTGTAAATGTTTGTTTAATTGATTTACATAACTTTGATTTTGGATAAATGTATTTGCAACTTTAATGATCAAAGACCCAACATTTAGGTGTAGATGTTATTGTTTGCATAACTTTGATTTTTGGTAGGAGGAGTTATAAAGAATATTACAAAGCATTTGGGAGTTAAGATATTTTTTCCATGAACTGCATCAAATGTAACAATATTGTCGGTTGACATCATCATCACTCTCATAGTCTCATTAAGCTCTCTCAACCTTTTTAAATGGAAGAATGAAAGGTAGCTTTGCAAAGTAAGTAATAAATGGATTGAAGAAAGGGTTTTATCTTGAGCAATATTTTTGAAAAATGCTAAAAGAAATCAAAATTCCGACACAAGATTAAGTCGTGTTTTTACAAAATTCCCTACATGTCGTAATTTACGTGAGGCATTTTTTTATTATTATTTTGCCAATTCAAAACAAAATAATTAATTTAAGGTCACCTATACTCATTATTTTCCCATATGACCCTTTAAATGGTCCCGATCCAAAAAAATTATCCTAATGTACTTTATTCCAAAAAAAAAAAAAAAAAAAAGGGATAGTATCATTATTTTTAAATGGTCCAAAAATGTACATTATCATTCTTGCTAACCTTAATTCATACAAAAGATTCTAAATAGGAACATCATTATGAATCGGAGGGGGTATAATATAAGTGTAGGAACGTAAAATTTATATAAGTGCCACATCGAAATTTATAAGGTAAAAAATCAAATCTTTGACTTAATGGTTCTTTGACTATTAATTTAAATTATTTCATTTAGGAGAAATATATTAAATTAGCCCATTTAATTTAATTTAATATGTTTATTTTGAGGATTAGAACTCAATAAATGGGTTAAGCTATAATAAATGGATGACAGGGTAAAGTCGTATCCCCTAATCAAAAATATTACATAAATCCTCTAACTAATGCAGATAAGGAAGTAGGGTCGAATCCACATGGAAACAATTCTTTCTACTCCTAATTAATTATTATAATCTAAATTATCAAGGTAACCAATGTTATTGTAATTAAAGACTATACTACGAAGAATATGATCAGGGAAAATGAAGTAGAGAGAAATTAAATATTAAAAAGCCTAGGGCATAGGTTCACTAATAAACAATATTCCAGGGCAAATCATAATAAGCAATCATCAATCATCGATTAATCAGATTATAAAGGGCTTTCGCTACGTATTATAATCACAGAGTTAATTTACCGGTATTAAATTTCATCTGTCGAATCTCGACTTAACCATTTATAAATTAGTCCGCCTATTGAAACTAAGCCTAAACATTAATTCTCATCTGTCGAATCTCGAATTAATATTGCTAAACTCATACAATTAAATCTGGCCAAACCTAATTGCATAGCATTAAATCAATCAATAGGAAATTAACCAAGCATTGATAATCAACAATCACAAATTTACCCCTTCATATTATTTATTAGATCCCCATAAACCCTACAAATAAAACTACTCAAGCATGATTAAATCTAAATGAATCAAATCAATTAATGAATTAAATAAAATAACTGAAATTAAAAGAGAAGAAATTGTTACCAAAAGAAATCTGGATTAATGAATGCAATTAAGAACAATGTTGAGAAAGTTTAAGAGAGATAAAATATTCTAAGTAGAGAGAGAAAATCTAAAAGAGAAGGTAATAAAAAATTACGTACAAAAATCGTACTTAAACATCCCTAAAACAAAAACTAATCAGGTCCCTAAAAAACACGCGCCCGATCGGGCGAAGGGCCGCCCGATCGGGCCCGCCTTTTTTCTATGCCCTTGCTAGTGTGTTGCGCCCGATCGAGCCTACGCTCACCCGATCGGGCGCGACTTCTTTCTTGATGGTGCTTTGCGCGCGCCCGCCCGATCGGGCGTAGGCTTGCCCGATCGGGCTCGGCTTCTTCTTCGAAGCTTGGATTTTGATTGGGCTCGATTCCTCGGCCCAATCCGGATTTCCTCTTCGGGTCTTGATTATGTGATCAAATTGCCCTGGTATCACATACCGAGCCCTTAATCACCGGATCTCACCGGTCCTGGGCTTCAAGGATGGTCGTGTCCTCCTAATGCTCGTAGTTGCTTCGTGAAAAAACCCGGAAAACGCTCCAAGTGTGCAATTTCCTACAAAACTCAAGCAAAACTACAAAAACACTAGAAAACACAAATTATTAATAAAAGTGGCCCTAAAGAGCCAAAAACACTACTAATTATGACCATGGGACGGGGGTAAAACACTATATAAATTGGACATATCAATGGATCACGATTACCAAGTCAAAAGCGCAATATATATATAAACCTAACCCTAGGAGTCACGCACTCTATTAATAGCTCGCTCTCTCTCTCTCTCTCTATTTCATTTGGGGAGATGTGTAGACACCTAAAAATGTATCCCAACATAAAGCCCGATGACGAAACAACTTTCATTGCCTAATTTGGTATGTTTTGAGTAATATTTTAAAAATTACTTGAATATTCTTTTTTTCCTAGCCCACTATTATTTTCTAGCCATTTTAGCAATTTCATTATCCCAAATCCTTTATTATCCCAAAATCCGTGAACCTTTCTTAATTTCATCTGTTCATAATTGCACCCCAAACCCAAGCAAGTCTGATTTTTGTGCTTCATAATTTCCATTCAAATCATAAATAGTTGGATAGTCTTTGAAATAAGCTTTCCAATTATATATCATAATCTCAATTTTGAGCTATAACAAAAAAGATATGAACGGATTTTTCAAAAAACAAAATGAAAGAAATACCAAACTCTATCCAAATCCGATGTCATCCCACTATTTCAGTCATGTCTTAAATTCTAAAAAAGATATCAATCTGATTCTAATTGGGTTAAAAAGTAGACTCATATAGCTTTCCAAAGATATACTTCCCCTGTTTCTTTTTAGTTGACACGTTTCTTTAGTCACGTTTGTCAATGCACTTATTCAATCATTAATATCTTTGATTATCGATAAGCAAAAATTATGAAAAAGTTGATATTTTAAAAATGTATAAAATGACAAATCTAACAAGATCCCACATGAATATATTTTTCATCACGTATAAAGCACATAACACGGTCAAAAAGAAGTGTGTGAATAGTGCTAATAAAGTCAAAACGTGTCAACTAAGGGTCTGTTCTCATTGACTGAACTCAGCTGAACTGAACTGAATTGAATTGAACTGAACTGATTCTTTTCTGGCTACCTTTGCAGTCGGATTCTTTTCTAAATCCTCTCCTTGCCTTTTGAAAAGCTTGGAGAAGGATCGGGGTACACGCTTTGCAGAGTCCTGCAAAATGAAAGTGGATTAAGTATACCCAGCCGGCAATCTGCCTTGAAAAAAAAATTGATAATGATATGTATTCAGGCGGTCTTACCCCGCCTTTTTTGAACTCTTTGGCGTCCACGGCTGCTTTCTTAGCTAGAGCCGCTTCCTTGCGCGGCTGCGCCGCTGACTTAGCCGGTGTCTTTGCCGGATCGACCATTTTCAAGCGTCGGTTGCATGAACAGAATTCAAGGTTAGAAGAAATTGTGGCAAGTTTGCAATAAAAATAAAAATAACAAACACTCCGGATGTAAGTGGATCTACCCTTGGGAAACATGAGACTTAACCCACAGGCGGACAAGAAGCATTCATCCTTGAAATAGTCCGGATGGGGGATCCAGTTTTTGGGAACTATAATGTGGGTCCCATCCCCCATGGGCTCAATTATGGACTCAAAGAAGCCCAACTCTATTATTTGCTCCCGGTCCTTAGTAGATAGCTCCGGGAGAGGGCATTTCCTTCCCAGAAGAGTCGGCGCTGTGTTGTACCGGCGGAGAGTCCGATTGTGTCTCAGAGTTGGGGAAGAAATCAAATAGAACTTGTCCTTCCATCCGGACCATTTGGACACCTTGTCCAAACTCATCAGATACTGGGGCAAGGTAGAAAGAGTGTACCATGCCCCGTGACCGCCTGGTGCCTTGCTCAAATAATTCATGTGAGCGAAGGCGGAGAGGCTGGGATTTATGTTTTGGAGCTCGCAGGCGGCGATGTAACTCAGAATATTCACCCACGAATTGGGGGTGATCTGCCAGACTCCTAAATCATACCCCTTCAGGATTTTCCTAATCCCGGTATGAAGGGGGAACCGGAGGCCGACATCTATTACCGCCTTGTAGTATACAAAATAATGGTTTGCATTATCAATGTCATCGTCCCACGCCATTACTGCGTCAGCAGGCGGAACGATGATATCCCACCCCTTCCCAAAGGGGTGCTTCTCTTTAAAGGCCCTAGTCGCTTCTTAATAGGGCGATGTCACCCGGAAGCATTCTGGTCCTTTTTGGGTTAGGGTGGTCAGCGACTTTAGGCGGCTGCTGATAGTCAGCCGCAAAGTTATTCGGGTCAGAGCCAGAAGATTCGGCCTTTGACCCTTCACCGGCCTCGTCGTCATCGATTCCATTAGAGGAGGCGGCTTCCTCACCGCCTTCCTCTCGTACTCCTGAGATCCCGGAAGTAGAGGGAGCCTCTTCATCAGAACCACTCTCCTCCAAATCCCTCTGTTCCCTGTCTGGAACAACCTCATCGGCTGGCACTGACATAGTGCGCCGACTCCTAGATTTTCTGGCCGTCTGTTTGACTCTGGCCATTGTGTCCTGCACAGACACAGAGAGGGAGGAATTCGGAGATGAGCACATCGGTTCTGACAGTCCAGAAAAGGCACCCCCTGTTCTAGACTCAGCCGTTCCGGGGGACCAGCTGAGTGTCCTAGGCAGTGCCGAGTGTGTGGATTGAGATCTCAATTTTATTTTCTAAAACTATGTATACAGGCGGAGGAAAAATGTATACAAGTTGGAAAAGAGAAAAGCTAAAATGGTACAGGCGGTTACCTTACTTTAACTCTGAATAATCTGAAAACCGCTACAGCCGATAAACCGGGTGTTGAACTGCTAGCACACAGAACCTTGAAAATACTCTGACGCAGGCGGAGGCAGAGAATCTCTCTCTAAAAGCTCTCTCTTTCTCTCTCTAAAAAAGTCAAATGAAAATAAGGTGAGAGGAAAAGGAGGGGGGGTAAACTTCTATTTATAGAAGGTGAAAACGGGGGGAAAATTCTTGTTTGAAATTTAAATTTTACTATCCGTTATTGTTCACCTCTGATAGGTGGACACGTGTCACAGGCCCCACGTGATACGCACGTGAGCCCTATGAGGGGCAAATGTTTAGGGTATAAATACCCTAGACGCGTGGACCAATGAGAGGAGGCCACGTGTCGAGTTCAGGATGGCCCACGTGGCTTAATATCCCCTTGACACATGGCCCCCTTGGATAAATCTCTGAAATGGCAGCCTTCAAGGGCCCAAATCCCAAGAAGCGCCGTAAGACAGCGCAGCCCACTAAAATCTAGGTCAAGTGACCTAGATGGGGGCACATTCTCCAATGACCCTATAAATAGGGAGATATTTCCCCATTTTGGGGACACACATTCAATCATTTATTACACCTACATTCTCTCACATCAGAGAAACACCCGAGCTTGGAATCCAAGCAGATCCCCACCTAAATTTTTGTACTCCTTATTCCCTTTTAAGTTACTAACTTGATCTTCGGAGGCGGAGCTCCAACCACCCGGAGTCTCCGTGGTTTTGCAGGTACAACTCAGTCGGACCAGACTTCGTGACGTAACTCTCCCGAGGGACAAAAACACCCAAAACAGAACTGAACTGAGCTGAGCTGAGCTGAACTGAACTGAAATGAATATTTTATAAGAGAAGAAAATTAGGAGCTGAGCTGAACTGAACTGAACCGAACTGAGCTGAACTCAACTGAACTGAACTGAGATGAGCTGAACTGAACTGAACTGAATTTCAACGTAAGCGAACAGGTCCTAAATAAAAACGGAGGTAGTATTTTTTTTCTTCTTATTCCAAGTTTTGGATGAAGTTATGAAAAAAACAAAAACCGCTAAACTGCTGACCCGCGTGAGTGCGTGACACATTTTCTAAGTTATGTCTTTTCTTAAAATTCTATCTTCACTCGATTTTAAGCTTATAAATACCACCCTAATTTTTAGGAGGGGAATTTGACATTCTGACAACTAATTTTTCAATCTCATATAACCCAAAAGGCTTAAACATAAAGCTTCAACGTACAATTTATATTGTTCTTAGCTTTTCTAATCCTATTCAAGTAATTCAAAGTCCAAAACAAGATCCGAAGGTTCTACCTTTTGTACTAAGGCGTGAAGGTATAATCTCAAGGGTGAAATAAATTTTTCTAACTCTTTAATTACATTCTTTTGATTTATTTATTTTATTGAACTTAAATTACCAATAATTTATTCATGATGTAGTATTCAAAGTTGCATATTTGGAGTGAGTATTTAATCCTTTTGGTATTATTTACTCTTAATATATTTATTGCTTTGATTACTAGCATTATGTTTAAGGATTGATTTTTAATTATTTAGTATCATGTTTAGGAGTTATATTAATCTTGTTAGTATCATGCTCGGGATTTTATTAATAATTATTTAGTATTATGTTTAGGATGTGTTTAATTCATTCTCTAATTATTATCGAGTAACTTCCAATATTGTTTTATGCATGCTTATTTAATCAATTTATTCTATTATTGTTTTGATCACCTATATTACATGTTTAATTGAGAATATGTGATTGAAAATCATGCCTAACAAGATAATTTGGACAACCTGTTTAGGTAACTACTAGAAAACAAGCAAATAACGACGGACTGGTTCCGACGGACCTATTATTCCGTCAAAAATATTGAATTTTCCGACGGATTTTAATTCCGTCGGTTATTTCCGACGAATTTTACAAATCCGTCGGAAATCCGTCGGAAATTTTCGACGGAACAATAATCCGTCGGAATATATGTGTTTTCCGACGGATAATTCCGTAGGAAATTACTTTTTACGACGGATTTATAGTTTGTCGGAAATTTCCGACTTCCGTCGGAAAATATATATTTTTTTAAAAAAAAAAACTAAAATCTTTAGAAACCCTAACAACCCCCTCTTCTCCATCTGCCGCTTTTCTTTCCTCTCCTTCTCTCTCTCCTCTCTCCTCTCCTCTTCCCTCTCCGTTCTCACTCCTCTTTCCTGCTCATTCTCTCTCTTTTTCTCCTTCTTTTCTCGCTCGTTCTCTGCTCCTCCTCTGTCTCCTTCTTCTCTTCGTTCTCCTCTGTCTCCTCTTCGTTTTCCTCTGTCTCCTCTTCTTTCTTCGTTCTCCCTTTGTCTCCTCTTCTTTCTTCGTTCTCTTTCACCACCGCCGCAAATCAACACCACCGCCGACATCAACGACACCAAGTTCATCCTTTTTTGCCAATTTTCTAAATTTTCTCCCTTTCTCTCTCCTCATGATGAAAGCAAAGGTTTTCAGGCCAAATTCGACCATGAAAACTCTGGATCTAGAGTTTTCGTAGTCGAATTTGGCCTCATAAATCCAATTTCAAGGTTTTATTTGGTCAAATTAAGGTATGTGTATTTTTTTTTTAAATTTTTGGGTTTGAATTTTTTTGAATTTATTTGGTCGAATTTTTTTGAATTTATTTGGTTGAATTTTTTTTGTTGTTTAATCAGATTTTTTTGAATTTTTGGGGGTTGGTTTGGGATTTTATTTTTTTCGTAATTTTTGGGTTGTGGTTGGCTTGTTTCGGTGGCGGTAGTGGTGGTTTTAGGTGGGTGGTTGATTGTGGTTCGGCGGCAGTGGTGGTTTTAGGTGGGTGGTGGTTAGGGTTGTAGATCTAGGTTTATTTGGGTGGTAAATCTGTATTTGGGTGGGTTAGGGTTAGGTGGGTAGGAGTTATGGTGTAGGTTTTGGTGGTTGGGTAGTGGGTGGTGGTGCAGCCTGGTGGTGGGTGGTGTGGGGTGGTGGTGGTGGGGTGGGAGGCGTTTTTTTTTGTTTTTTTAAAAGCATTTTCCGACGGAATTTCCGTCGAAAATTTTCGGCGGAATACAATCCGTTAGAAATTTCCGACGGACTTTCGCGAACCTTAAATTCACTCCCGGCGGACTGAATTCCGTCAGAATTTCCGTCGGAAAAGGCCCTTTTTCCGACAACGTGTATTGCGACAACCAGTTCCGACGGAATTCCGTTGGAAAACAGTTTTCCGACGGAAATTAAGGTGTTTCCGACGGAAATTTTCCGTCATTATTCAACTGTTTTCTAGTAGTGATATTTTATTATTTAATCAAATAATTGATCATGATACTTAGAATTTTATGTGCATATGCATTAATATTCAATTATATTAAATTAGTAATATTAGTTTGGAGCAAATTGAATCCTTGTTTGTATGTCCTTTGAATCGCAAGAAATACTTTTCACAAAAAGAATCGAGTAGAGGCCAATACATGCGAAGTGACTTCCATGACTCACTTTGTACCATCATCCTTGATCCCCCTTTCGTGGTTCCGAACCATATGGAGTTAGTAATCTCATGGTATAGATTATGAATGGGGCGTAACCTTCACTGCTTCACAGTTCAATTGTTGTTGCCTTTCGTTGTCCCTTATCATGATTTCTTTTAAATGATCTGTGTCATGCACGTATCATGTTGCATGTGTCAAGTCAAGCTTGGTCGAGTGGTTTGGCTCAGTCATGAGTTAATCACAGTCCATAAGAGTCCTTTGGCACATTACATTTTGCAGGTCTTAAGTACAACCTCTGTTCGGGGACAATCGAGCAAACATATTTCCTACCTCTATTCGGGGAAACATACCTTTCGTTCGCCCCTTATCGTGGTTGTCTTTGAATGATCCGTGAATGTAACACCCCAATAATTCTCTATTAAAAACCTGTGAATAACCTGAACAATTCCAAGAGAATTACTGGCGTGCTACTGCCACGTGTTCAAACGTTAAGGCTTTATCAGAAAATAGCAGCGGAAAAACTAATTTAGCTATAAATAAGTTTCAAAACCAATAACCAAAACCAAATTAAATCATACAAGTTGGAACCATTAAGGCCCTTATTCAAAACCGCACAAAAGTAGTAAATAAATAAAATCAGAGTTTAAATAAATTCAAACTTATGAAAAGAAATAAACTGCAGATAATAACCAACTCTCCACGCAAAATCCCACAACCCTGATGCGAATACTGCATATGTAAGAACCTGTGGTTAATCTGCTCCCCAATATTACAAGTGTAAAAATTGGATCGTCACAGGGTCATTGAAAGGCGAAGGCCATGACCAAAGAAAGACACACAAAGCACGCAATCAGCAAAGCTGAGTACATACAAGCTGCAAAACATAAAAGAAATCCCTAACACGCTACTAATAGTCAATCATCACGCATCATTAGTTTATAGACTCGAGACATGACTCAACTATCAAATTTATTAAGACTTCACTAGTTAATATTAACTAACTCATTTATTTATTTCATTGGATTTAGCAATAGACAAGGTTGTCCAACCCATGTCCCATTTGGAACATCAATAAAACAAAAACTCCATGCCTCCTTTCGGAAACATCAATAAACATTCAACGACCACGGGCGCGACTCCGTGACCGTAGTTAGTATGAGATCTCACCTAACTCCTAGTTTTAAAAAAAAACATTTGAAATAGGAAACTCGTAGATCAGACGGCCTCGATAAAAGTACACGGCTAATACCCCGTGTACCCCAACCCCTGATTGTCATTACTCCAGAAGTGCACCAATCCAGAGTTTTATTGCTCATCCATCTTGCACTTTACGTGATTTACAGGTTTAGACTTGGTGATGACTCATATGCAAACAATACAATCAATCCAATATCAATTTAATCAAGTAAAACAACTTTTCAATTTCAATTCTTGATTTATTAGCGACAAGCAACATTTATTATTTATTCCTTTAACTACCTCGTGTATAAACACCTTGAGTGCATAAGGCACCCCAAAACCTTAACTTCATCTTATAAGACTTGAATTCCTCCTTTACTCATCCTGTTTGCATAATCATGAATGAGTAATAATTTAATCTTTACACCAATCACATACCTTTGCCTTTAAGCGCACCTTGCATAATTAGAGCACAAATAATACTTGCATTATAAACTAGTGCACATCATACGAAATACACAATGTATAACCAAACAATTTAACTCAGTCATCCCTATACATGATACTAAGTTCTCGATCCGTCCTTAAACATGCACCTACAAGCAAGATTTCGTAACTTGTACGTACCTTGAATAAACGAATTGGTATGCCACTTTACTAACTAGAAATCACCTTCATTAAACTCCTCTCCTAAACCAAATAATAACATCTCAATCAATACTCAATCAATCAAATTTACAGCAATACTAAGTTACTTTAAAACCTTCAAAATCCAAATCAAACAACACTTTAAAACCTTCCCTTTAGTTAAAATTAAAGACTTATATATAGTTCTTTAAATTTTCTTCAATAAAAACCTTAAAATACATTCTTATACATGAAATTACAACAAGTTTAAAGTTTAATAAAAATCTTAAAATTATTTAAAAACCCCTAATAATCTCCCTTTTTAATGGGTGATTAAACCCTCTTTATAAAACATCAAAAGTAGTACTAAGAAACTATTTCGAGCACTTAAAAATTCAATAAAAACATATATTTATTCTTAATTAACTTTAAACATAATTAATTTTATCAATCAAAGTCAAGGATAATATTTTAAGTATAAAAAAAACTTTGTTAAAATCAAAAACTGCCCGAAAATCATATTTAGATTCTGAATTTGGCCACGAAAGGGTGGTGCTTATTACCAAAGGTAATGAGTCTTTCTTAAATTATTTTTTCCACATGAAAACACTACTTTTTCATCAAAATCGGATGAGTTCGGAACCTGATCGGGATTAATATTAACGAACGGAAATCTAAAAATTAAAACACGAATTTAAGTGTTCAAAATAATCTTGGAATTAAGTTAAACTAATCATTAGTTATAATCACCAAAATTTCAAAACATCATTACTATAAAATCCCTAAATCAATTGTTCATAAAAACCCTAAAATCATGATTTTCAATAATTAAAAACCCTAGGTTATAAAATTTACAAAATCTGAAAATTATGACACTTATAAAATCTAAAATTATAAATTTTAATCATCAAAATACAACTTGATACTAATTAAATTACTTTCAAACAATAAAATCAAAATCCATAAATCAATAATTATAATTATACAAATTAATAAAACAAAGGAGAGAGAAAATAAGACTAACCTTTTTGTGTGGGAAATTTTTGGGGATTCATGGGGTATTTATAGGAGAGAATTGTAGGGTAGATAGGAAGATTGGCCTCATAAAAATAATGGGTTGATTAAGTAAACAAATGGGTTAGGCTTGGGTGATTGGACATAAATTGTAGAATAAAGGTGCATAAAATAATTTGTTCAAATAATTTTCGACCCAGATTAATAATTTGAAACTTTTAAAATTAAATTATGAAAAATAACAAATAAATATTATAAATAAAATAAATTTTCATTTATAAAATATTTAAAAATGCGGGGGATTACAGTGAATTGTTTACAAGCTCTTTTAAAAACTTGTTGGCGGGTCCCTTATCATATAATATCAAATCTCGTTTCTTATGATTGCTTAACATATTGACACATGTTTAAGTAGACACGGCTTCGATTGATGCCTACAAGCTAAAAGGAAACAGGGAGACTACATTCTAATAGAGAAAGACTCTCAAAATCTAAACCTCGCCAAAGAAAAGCCCTCAACACGGAGAAAGAAGAACAGTCTTCCTTAAACGAGATCAAGCCTTACCGGCCGTCAACAAAGGAGAAGAAAAGAAGAACTTTGAAACATCAAGCGCATCACAAGTTCGCGAAGTTTAGCCTCAACATCAGATAGTCTTTGATCGAGATCAAGCCTCGACGGCCCTCACTCAAGAATTCAAGTCAAAGGTCCACATCAGCAACAAGTTAAAGTACTAAGCAATGTTTTAAATATGGTTATAGATTATTGATTGATAAGTACTATAATCATAATAAATTACTCGAGGAATAATAAAAGCATGTGATATGTTAATTTGGTATTTGTATTTTATTTTTTAGTTGTATTCCATAATACACAACAAAAAAAAACAAAAATTAGCAAAAGATCTAAGCAATATTTTTTCTTGTTTTAAAACTAGTCATAAATTATTTTAAGAATATGATTTTTGGTATACAGTTATTCAAAATTTTCTTAGAATATGAAAAATGTATTTAAAAAATAATTTTATTTTTTAAATAATATGTTTCCTCAATAAATAGTTTTTATTTTAAAATAAATAAATTACTAAGGACACACCAGGAGATAATCTTTGATATAACAGATAGTCTTTGGTCGATATTAAGCCTCAACGACCCTCAATCAAGAATTCAAGTCAAAGGTCTACATCAACAAGTCAAAATTCTACATCAACTATATCTTCGATTGTGATCAAGCCTCGACTACACTCGATCGAGAATCAAGTCATCTCATGAAACAAGTCTAACCTAAAGTGGAGATCGAAGTAGATGAGCAAATTAGAGATTGTATCCAAAATAATGAAATTAACATTTTGTTTAATTTATTTTAAATCCATATTTTGCATATTTAAAATTTGTGTTTACAATTAGGTTTCATAATATCATTTTTTTATACGCATATTAAAATATGTCTGTCAAATTTAATCGAGTTAATTATTGTGGGACAAGTTGTTATAATATGAATATACTCCTTGTATTTGGGGATGCCAAATTTCAACGGCCACAATGCAAATGACATGGTCCAAACAAAATAGAACTCTTGGAGTCTTGGTATGATTGAACCCAACATCCAAGTTGGCTTCCCTAAAGGCCTAAACTAAACTAAAAACCACATAACACAAAATTCCAATTTCCAAACCTTCTCAAATAAAATAAAATAAAAAATATTATTTTATCTTCACTATAAAATCCTCCCTGCCACGTGGCATTATATCAACCAATGCCTAAACTACTTTTTAAATTTGGAGCCATTCAAATTTCATCAGTGAAATATGATTCACAAAAATTCTCAAATCACCAACATTTTACACTTCCAAGTTCCAACCCTTTTCTCTCTCTTCTTCAAGTTGAGAGTTGAGAGTTGGCAATGGAGATGATGGCCATCAAAGCTTCGGCTTCAACTAAACCTACAATTTCTCTATCTTCTTCTTCCCAAAAAACCCTAATTTCTAAACAAAATTCAAAAGTTCAACTAAAACAAGCTCAAAATCTCTTCTTTCCTACCTCAACTTCTCTTTCTCTTTTGACTCTTTTTACTACTCCCTTTGATGCTAAAGCTGTGGCCCTCCCCAAAGAACAATTAGTCACTTCTCTTACTCAAGTATGAATCTATACCCAATTCTACTCCCATTTGTTTTTTTTAGGGATTTTAGTGGAATTAATTGTGGAATTTGATTGAAAAATGTTGAAATTTGATTGACCCATTTGCTGATTTTTTATTTTGATTGAAACCCATTTGAGAATTGTTCAATTTGATTGATACCCATTTGTTAATTTGTTTAAATTGAAGATAAAAATTGTGTTTTGGAGGAATTTGATTAAAACCCACTTGGTTTTTTTCAAAAAAAAAAAAAAAAAAAAAAAAAAAAAAAAACCTACTTGGTAAAATGTGTAATTTGATTGACCCATTTGCCGAAATTTGAATGTGAGTGATACCCAGTTGCTAATTTTGGAAATTGATACGCACCCATCTCAAAAGCATTTGTGTATTTTGGTGAATGAAATTTTTTAGGTGGAGCGAACAATTGATCAAGTTCAGGAAGTGGGTTCGAATGTTCTGGATTCCGCACAGAAAGTTTTCCAGGTTGTGGCTGACGCTTTGAAGCCTGGCATTGATGCAGCCGCGCCGGTTGTGCAGCAGGCTGGACAAGAGGCATTGAAAGCTGCTTCTCCATTGATTTCTGAGGCGTCAAAGAAAGCTCAGGAAGCAATGCAGAACTCTGGCATCAGTTCTGAAACCATGTCTTCTGCTGCTAAGGTTTCGAATATTCTTCTGTTTTGTTGAGTTGAATTGTTTGGATGATAATACCACTTCGTAGTTCTACAATATCTGCTTAAGCATAGATAACATGATTGATTGCATCATGGAGATTAAGTTTGTTACAGGTTTTGTTTTGTCTAGTAAATGTTAAGTATGATGAGTGTGGTTTTATGAACAAGAAACTAATCTATGTTATAAAGACTAACTTACTACTTCTCCAATTTCATATAATATGAACTTATGAAGTATGAAGTGTCCATACCAATGTGGACTTGTCAGAGTGCTGACTGACTGTCAAGGATCTTACTCGAGTACTTGAGTTGGATGAAGAGTTTGAGTATCATATGTAGGCATCACAGTTAAAACTTTAAAGGTTATTCAAGAGAATTCTTATGAAGGTGCTTCAATTGTTTCATTTTTTATAAACTTTTGATGCCACTTCCATATACAATTATCATAGTCAGTATATCTGAGCTTGAAACTATCACTAATTGATGCTAATGGTACATTCATCTTACACCTTTTTATTAAACTAGAGTTTCCTTAGAGGATTCTACCCTGTGATGATTTTGTTCCTTTTGTAGTGGCTAAAAGCCTAAAACAGACCATTCAAATGTGGATGTTCACAACTCACAAGTCTTAATTTACGATTCATCTCTCACCATTTGTAACTTTCGTTTTACCAATACTGGTAAATAGGCTGTTTCAGGGTTTGATCAATCAGTTTATATATCATCCAGATTAGTTCTATGCTTTAATGTAGAAATACGCTTTGGTCATTTAGCTGTTCGAGCTGAATCCAAAATAATATATTGCTTTTAAAATGACAGACTGTAACAAGTGCTGCAGAACAGACAACAAGAGTGATAGAAGATGCAAAGCCCATTGCATCGTCGACAGTTGAGACCATCTCAAACTCAGACCCTGCTCTAATATTAGAAGGTGGTGCTGCGTTGTTTCTTGCATACCTCCTCCTTCCTCGAGTCTGGTCTATCGTCTCATATAATTTTCGTGGATACAAAGGTAAACAATGTTTCTAAACAAGATCTCTTAGCATACTTAAATTGTACTAGTACTATACTGCTACAGGAGAGTACCAGAAATTTTTGATTGAACTCGTGAACTCTATATGAAGAATAAAGAATTAAAAGCAAAAGAGAATATATTTCTACTTCATGGTGTTAGTTAAATCGGGAGATGTAGTCATGTTTGAAAATGCATTGTTCTAAGCCATTTTTTCAAGGTTTCTGTTTATGCATGCCTGTATGATACATCTGTTCCAGCTGAAATGTATACATTATGTCTTTCAAACTTTTTTCATGGTCATATATCCTTGTTTGCATTTTCTTCCTTTTTTTGTGTTCTAGACTATCGATTTTCATAGTTTTTTTTTTCTTTTCTTTACTGTCTATATGAAACCAGCATGAGTTTCTCACTGCTGATGTATACACTGTCACAATTCAGGTGGACTTACTCCTGCTCAAACCTTGGACATGATGTGCTCTCAGAACTATTACTTGATTGATATAAGATCAGAGAAGGACAAGAACAAGGCTGGCATTCCCCAGCTTCCTCCAAGTGCTAAAAGTCGGATTATTGCAATTCCGTTAGTACCGCTTTTCTTTTTCACCTAATTTCCACTTCTGATACCAAGATGATCAATTTGTTTGTATGAAATAGGGCCATTGTAATGCTCTTTACCCTTTTCGGACGGTTCTTTATGGTGATTCATGTTAGCCGATCCCAAATCATTTTGGGACTAAGGGCTTTGTTGTTGTTATTGCAATATTAGGAGCAAATAGGTAAATGCATGTAGCCTAATATGCATAATTATGTAGGAAAAATTATTTGCCTTATCATGTTATGCTTCTGCCTGAATATGAAAGCAAAATGCTGTAATTTTATTCTTATGTCCAATTATGCTGAAGATGGGATGTTGAGTTAATATAAATTCTAATGTGTTGGGAAATTTTCTGCCTGAATATGAAAGCAAAATGCTGTAATATTCTTATGTCCAATTAAGCTGAAGATTGGATGTTGAGTTAATATAAGTTCTAATGTGTTGGGAAATTTTCTGCCTGAGTATGAAAGCAAAATGCTGTAATTTTATTCTTATGTCCAATTATGCTGAAGAAGTGATGTTGAGTTAATATAAGTTCTACTGTGTTGGGAAATTTTCTTATTCTGACATGCCCTTTTGAATTTATATAGGCTTGAAGAATTACCAAGCAAGTTGAGAAGTCTTGTGAGAAACTCAAAGAAGGTAGAAGCTGAAATAGTCGCTTTGAAGATATCATATCTCAAGCGTCTATCAAAGAGCACCAATATCGTTATAATGGACTCGTAAGCCTTACAGATCATTACTGTAATTGTTGCTTCTTGTCTACTTAGTCAGTAACTAGCTGAAATTGATGTTTAATCTTATTATGGAAAACAGGTACTCAGACTCTGCAAAAACAGTTGCAAGGACTTTGACAGGTTTGGGATTTAGAAACAGTTGGATCATGGCAGATGGTTTCTCTGGAGGCAAAGGATGGTTGCAAAGCCGCTTGGGTACTGAGTCATACAATCTGTCTTTGGGCCAGATATTTTCACCATCGCGTATTATCCCTGGTGGCACAGGACGTTTTGGCACCACAAGCTCTACTGTTCAAATTGGTAGAAAATTGCTTCCTGAGTGAAGCAAAAACAGTGTTAGTTTCTGTACTTCAATTTTGAGTCCTATGTAAAAAGCCTCTAATTCTTGAAAGTGCAAGGCCGATTTTGTGATGCATCAACTTAAGCTCTCGTATTTACTGTGTTGTGTGCGCAATTGATCACGCTGTATGCATGGGACGTTAGATGTTTGTAGATATAAAAAAATTTCAGCATGTTAATCTCATACAGTAGTGTCTCATTCCAAGTCTAGGAAAAGAGGCAATTATACTGAAATTTTATGCTGAGCCTTTCTTGGTGCCCCTATGTTGTAACTTCCGAACTCTGTCGTTTAAGAAGAAAGTGTTACCTCCTTTTTTTTAGCACCTAGCCAATGCCGTCTTGGACATTTTAGGGGCCCGGAGCGAAATCTTAAAAAAGGCCCCTAAATTATAAGAATGTATTTCTTAAATTTTTACTTCGTATATTATAAAGTTCACCAACATTATTGATTATAGTTGGTCCTATGAGCATTTTTTTTAAAGCAAATTCATCAATTAGCACAAGCTATATTTTCAATACCTCAATTTTTTTTAAAAAAAAAGTCAAGAATTTAAACCCATAAAAAAAATTAATAAAGAAGAGAAATTCAGTAATTAAAGCTAACATAATACGAAGTAGAATTTAGGTAATTAAAGAAAAGAAATAAACTAAAAGAGAGAATAGAAAAGGAAAAAGGAAAATGAAAGCTCACATAAAAGAGAAAATGAAAATCTAAAAATACAAAACAAAAAGATAATTAAGCAAATAAATCAAACCCCTACTTTAGTGCTTCTTCATTTTGAACCCAAAAAAAATCACTTAAGCTAAGTAAGTTAATCTTTTGATTCATCTTTAGATTAAAAAGAAGCGGCTATACTTTTTATTAGTACTACATTTCATAAATTTATTAAAAAATAGTTTTTTTTTTTTTTTTTAAATATCAAATATATATATATATATATATATATATATATATGGACCCCACAAAAGGGGGGCCTGAGTGATCGCTCAATGAGCTTCCCTAATAGCCGGCCCTGCTAGCCATTTTTACAATGACATACTTTGTGCACTTTGAAGCAACCTTACTAGAAGAGGATATGTTCTATAGGATAGTACATTCGTACCTCTATATCTTCGAGTACAAATATAGTTTGTGCACTAGTGACATACTAACCTATTAATTTTCGGATGTTCCATGGTGGGTCCGGAAAATTTAGGCGGATCCATCATGGGATATTCGGAAATGGGCGGATGTCCCATTTTCAGAAAATAATAATAAAAAGAACTTAATGTTCTGACGCATTCTCCGGCGTACGAATGTTCAAGTCGTCCATCATCCAAGACCCGTCAAAAAAAAAACTTGATGATTAATTTTTTTTTGTAAAAAAAAAACGATTTAAGGTGGTCGTGGGAACCGATGTGGTGGGCTCGGGATTCACGGTGTACTACTTTGAGGGGACCTTAGTATGTAAAATGTGCATGAAGGGAACAAAGTCTTCTTTTTATACTACCTCCGGTCCACTTTACCCGCAACTTTGAGGGGGTTTGCGGAGGCCGAGGCAAAACTTTTAAGGGGGGATTTAGAAAAAGTAAGAGTATGTAATTAGGAGTTAAAATTGGAGGGAATACTCGTGGTCCCATTTTATTGACTTTTTTTAGGGGTTGTACTTTAGTGAAAAGAGTGGGAAATTCCCACCTTTTTTTTCCTGGCAGCTTAAGGACTATGGGGCGAAATTTTTTGGGAAGGTTTTTTCCCTCCCAAATTTTCCCCAAAATTCAAATGGACAGCCAAATTCCCCCAAGTTTCAAATTTTACCATTAATTTCAAACAAAAGACCCTATATAAAAGCAGGGCATCCCTTCCAATTCTCCATTTTCAAAAGCCAAGTTTTAGGAGAATTGGGGAGGGGGGAGGGGGGGTGAATAATTCAAGTACCACCATCACAGAAATTAGTTAATTAAGTACAAAATACAGGGAGCCCTAAAAAATTACAAGCCATCTAAACTTAGATTAGTTTAATCCTAAATCCTAGAGCAACGTTAGTAGATGCAACTTCAATAATAGGCTCCGTTGACTACCGTTCAAAAACCACCAGCCGCCACTTCATCACCAAAAAGCATTCCTGAAATTTTTTCAAAAGAGAAGGGACTCATGGGAGAGTTCATACACGAACTTATGGATGAGTTAATTCAACAAGACCAGCTCATGGAAGATGAATTCATCGAACAACAATTCAACCAAGAAGAGTATGAAGGGTCATCTGATTCAGAGCATGAACAACATCAATATGATGAAGGTAATGATGCTGATGGGTATGATGCAGATGATGATGCAAACCAAGAAGAGTTACAACACAATTGCAGACCAACAAGAGAGATGACAGTGGAACAGAAAAGAGCAATTGTTGAGGAGATTATGTTGCACATGGAGGGGGACTCACTGCCAAGAGGCTTTTTAGCCAATTTGGCAAGAAAACATTCAGTGCACAAATCTACAACAACAAGATGGTTTCAGGTAATTAAACATTCTCTAGCTGAAGGTATTGTTGTTGATGTTAATACCAAAAAATTAGGCAGGACAGGACGCAAAGCAAAACAATACATAGATGAGTTTCTGACATCTGTACCATTGTACAAAAGAACAACTGAAAGGGGATATGCTGGAGCACTAAAAATACCCAAAACAGCATTGCATAGGCTAAGGCAGCAAGGCAGGCTGAGAACACACACAAGCACAAATCATCCAGTATTGACAGAGAAGCACAAAGTGGCAAGACTTAAATGGGTTTTAAGTCTAATTAATCTTGTTCCAGCAATTGGGGATCCAACATTTACTGATATGCAACAATGGATACATTTAGATGAGAAATGGTTCTACATCAATCCAGATACAAGAACCTTCTACCTACTTCCAACAGAAGATGATCCATATAGGGCTCAACAATTAAGGAGGTTCAAAATCAAAGCAATGTTTATGGGAATGATAAGTAAACCATTGTTTGATGCTGAAAACAACATGATACATGATGGAAAGTATGGCCTTTTTCCTTTTGTAAAGTATAAAAGGGCCAAAAAGAAAAGCAAGAACAGAGATACAGGGACTCTAGAGATAAAGGCAATTCAAAGTGTCACAAAAGAATACATAAGGGAGATGCTGCTAACACATGTTATCCCAACAATCTATGAAAAATGGCCAGAGCAGTTACCAAAGGACATAATCATCCAATGGGATAATGCTAGGCCTCATCAGGTACCAAAGGATGAAGAATTTCAAGCAGCTTGTCATGCACATGGATTCAACATTCAATTCATATTTCAACCAGCTCAGTCACCAGAAACAAATGTTTTAGATTTAGGGTTGTTTAGTGTCATTCAATCATTACAATATCAATCTTTTCCAAGGAATCTAGATGACTTAATCAAGGAAGTGGCAAGAGCATTTCAAGAATTTGATCCTACACTAAACAAGTACACATGGATCACACTTCAATCATGCCTTATTAAGATTCTGGAAAAGCAAGGGGGTAATAACTTCTCTCCCCCACACATGAAGAAGAGAAGCTTGGACAGCCAAGGACTACTACCTCAACTACTTCAAGTAGACAGGGAGCTAATAGGTCAAGTTGTTCATTTTTTGGACACAATCACAATTACAGGAGATGATGAAGGCCACATGGAAGTAGATGCAGACTGATGACTATGTCTTAGTTTTGGAAGGCAACTATTAAGGGACTCATAATTGACTGCCACATATAACCTTTTCCTATTCAAACAACTTTTTGTGTTAGATTATGTGTAGGTTATGTGTACTTTTGGTGGATACAACTTGTTTATTTTTTAGGCAGTCATGTAATCAGTCAAGTACAAATATTTTATTTAACAAAAAGTTACATGTTTTACTCTGTTTGTGTTTCATTTTTAGAGCCTATTATTTCCATCAGAAGGGTTGTGATTTCAGTCAAAGCTTTAGTGAGTGTTGGTACCTCAACACAAACCTTTTTGACAAGGTTTATGGAGCATCCAAACCACCCAAGTAGCTATCAGATGAGTCCCATCATCATATGGAAAACCAAAAGGGGTGTGCATTATCAAAAAAAGGGACTCAATGCATGAAAGGCACAAGACAAGGGTCACAGCAGGGGACTCATTCTCAACAACCAAAAACAACCAAACAACTGTGAATTCATGCATCAACTAATGAACTACTCCAACAACTGCAAAACGCATCAAATCTAGTGCTACCAAACAACATCCCATAACATAAATCAAATGGGTCCAAACAACAAACTTGCCCCAAAACACCAGTCTTTTAACAACCACATACAAACATCTATCAACCACCATCATATCATCCCAAAACAGAGCTGCTAACACAATTACTACACAATTACTCCAACATCCATGCATCAACTAATCCTGTCAATCAAATCACAGTGATTATCCGTAATTAACAACTCACACAATCATCAACAACAACCCGCAACATCAAATTGTAAACAATTAATTGCACATCACAAGCACAAACACAGAGAATCAGAAAACAATAAATTAGGGTTTATAAAGTATAAGTTGCGCATTCAATTACGAGGGGGGTTGAACTGAGGGTAGTAGATCTGCAAATAAGCGTCAATCACTTCCTCCCTCGACATGCCATCTGGAGGACCAGATTTGATGCGTTTTGCGCCAGAGGAAGGGCCATCGTCACGCTCATGGGACTCCGGTGGCTGAGCCACCTCAGAAACCTCCAGATCTACTGGGGTCAACTCCCCTGTAGCAGATTCGGTGGCTGAAACCTCCACCTCAGTCACTGGAGACCTAGAACCCCCAGCAGAAACCACCGCAACAACCACGGAACCCTCACCAGCAGGAACCACCACAGACGGTGGTTCATCACGGGCAACGGCCTCAGAGAACACCAGCTTAGGCGGCTCCTCATCGCTGTCATAGTCAACGAGTTTCGCACCACGAATCCGCCTCCTCGCAATGACAGAAGCGCTGCGAATGGGTTTCAGGACACCCGTTCCACGACGGGGTTTGTAGGTAACGCTACCAGATCGGCGGCTGGAAGCACTTCTTTCAAGGCTTTCATGGCAAGTTAGATTTAGGTTTTTGTCACTAGAGGAAGCCATTGAAAGAGGAATTGAGAGAAAACCAACCAAGGAATACAAAGAGAGAGAGAGAGGAATCGATTCGGCGAGAGAAGAGAGAGAAAATAAGAACTAGGGTTTAGGTGGGAGGGATTTATTCAAGAGAATTCTCCAGAATAAATGAACTCCAACCAATTCAACAGATGAATTGAATGAGGAGCATTCAATTGAGGCAGTTGGAGAGTTGATGAATTTGAAGGGTTGGGGTATAATTTTGGTGGGAATGATTAATTTAATTAATCAGTCTACTTTATTAATCAGATAAGGTTAGTAATATAACTAAGTTGAATTATTAAAAAAATAAGGGTACAATGGTAATTTTACATAAAAAAATTTACTAAAAAAGGAAAGAAATGGGAAAGTTGCGAGTAAATTGGACCATCCCAAAAAGGAAATAGTTGCGAGTAAAGCGGACCGGAGGTAGTATTACAACTTGCATAAATATTTGTTCATTTAAGTCAAAATAGAGGCGTTACTCTGTAAAATGAGAGCAACGAATGACAATTCACTTTTTATTCTTGAACCTAACCACCCAGAACTGATCCCCGTGGGTCAACCGGGTAGAACACCAAAAAAAACTTTTTATTCTTGAACCCCCTTATTTAATTTGAACCAATAAGGGAATAATAGAGAATAAGAGAATAATCAATTTCCATTAATTAAATTTAAGTACGAATATAAGGTACAACTGTACAAGAATATATAGTTATCAAAATTCTCTCTCCTCTTTCAAACACATCATAGTCATCATCAGTTCATCACTATCCATAAATTAAATGCGTATTATACTTGATGATCATCACCTTCCACTATACACACCCCGCCAAAAACACTTGTGAATTCTTATTGATCAATCACCAAATCAAATCAAGAGAAAATGTCATACAAAACCCTTGATTTGATCACAATTTCTGATATTGAATTTCATGGCATACCCTCTAATATCGCTCAACAAATTCACCAAAAACTTGCGCAGATTATCTCTGAGTTTGGAGCTTCAACCCCACAAACATGGCAGAATATCAGCACTCAAATCCTGAATCCTCAACTACCCTTTTCATTTCATCAGATGTTGTATTATGGGTGTTACAAAAATTACGGTTCTGACCCTCCAGCTTGGTTGCCCCACTCGTGAGCTACCTACTTCTTCTTCCTATCTTATTGATTTTAATTTTTAATTGGATTTTACTCTATTAATTTGTTAAATGTTCAAAGTAGTTTATTTTTTTTTATGTATTTGTTATTATTTTTTTTTTTCTGTTAGTGCTGTTTTGTGATGTTTGGTTTGAGTAATGAACTAATGATTAGGAAATATAGACGGAGAGATGTCAACTAGTTTAGTTGGTTAAAATATTGCGCGTGTTTGTCAAGATGGGCAAAAGGGTCTTTACCCGAATCATCAATCCGAAATAAGTTGACTTACCTAAATTGGGTGTGTAATGGAGGTTTTGTTGACTGATTACAAAATTTTCTTTCTTGGAGTTGAGTACTATTGATTATTGATATGTACTTTTGTAAGGATGTTTCATGTCAGTGTCCATGGTAATGCTTTTACATAGGCTGCACTACCAAGGGAAAGGATTTGCATTACTGTTGTCATTGACACGAGACTTTCCATGCACAATTACATATTTACTCATAACCATTAACCCCTGCATAATGGGGCGTCAACGATTCAACGTTAGTGACATCCTTGTAATGCTAGTAATCCTACCAAAAAGTACAGAGCATATAGCTAGGAAGCATTTCTGAAACTTTTACCTCAGACCAGTGGCCACTTTTGGATTTAAAACAATAGAAAGTAAGAGGGTACCTCAATCTTTCTATTATGCCGGGGTTGAGTAGGGATGATGATGCCTGCCTGATCAGTTACAAAATTTTACTCTACACAGAACAGTTTGGGCATATGACAAGAATTTGACTGTAAAATGGTAGTGTGTGCTAATATTATATCTGGTGTTGAATCTAATAATATAGACTTAGAACAAACCCCTGCAAAGGGTGATCATTGGTTATATACGGCAATGAGATTATGCAAGCTCCTTTTTTCAGCTCTAGCATTTGATTTTATCTGTGATACCCAAATTAATGCTGAAGCCCTGTTGCATTTTTTATAGGGAAAGTGTAAGGCTGACTAATATTGGCCAGCTTCTGGAAAGACGAGGAAAAGAATTATTAGGTTTGAAATATAAGGATCCCATGTCTAGCTTTTCTGAGCTCCAGGAATTTTCTGTCTCTAACCCTGAGGTATATTATCACAGATTAGCTCTGAATTTCCATGTAATTAGAGCAAACTTCTTTGTAACTATATCACGACCATTTATTTCTCAGGTTTACTGGAAATGTATACTGGAAGAGATGGGTATATCATTTGCCAAACCACCTCTCTGTATTCTGAATGATAGCTCATCTTATCCTGGTGGCCAATGGCTTCCAGGATGTTATTTAAATCCAGCAGAAATGTGTTTGAGTTTAAATGCTAAGAGGAATTTAGATAGCATTGCTGTTTTGTGGCGTGATGAAGGAGAGGACAATATGCCTATAAAGAAAATGACACTTCAGGAGCTGCGCAGAGAGGTGTGGTATGTTTCCTTGTTTTGCTCTTATGTACTTGCTATTCTCACTAACTTAAGAAAAGTTTGGTATAATTGCGTTTGATAGTTTATGAAGATTTGGAAAAGAATATGCCCTGAGGCTTGAGGCTTGGGGTACTATCATGAAAAGAATCTAGTATATTAGTTTCATTTCTTGGGTCTATTTGTGCTCCTATGCAAAAAAGAGAGATAATTAATGCAAAAAAGAATATAATACAAAGAAAAATGTATACCAAATTATTAGTTATGTCAATGGATGTTTATTTGATGTTGATCTTTTTGAAGTATTTAAAAGGGGTTGTTTGTGTAATATGGATCCCTTGTTAATGTATTGCTGCCATCAGAATGGAAAAAACACTTCTATTCTCGTCAGAAACATTAATATTCTGCATTTGTTGCAAATCCTGAAATCAATTTATTATCAGGATTTGTTTAATTTGATGTACACTTGTACTGGAGGGGAGGGATTGTTGTGAGATCTATCTGCTAACATCACTGCTACTTGCTTCTGTGGATCAATACTGCCATTAAAGCATTAAGTAGTCAAATTTTAGAATTTGATATTTTAGAAGAAATGGTTGTCCGGCGGTATATTCCGCGATGCATTTGCTATATTGAATTGTGATGACCTCTGTGATGTTGGTACATTCATGACCTCTGAAAGTCTCTTGCAGTCGTCTGTTGAAGCACATTGTTTTCTGGAGCAAGTAGACATCCACGAACACTTGTATAAGATAATCATCTAACCTAGACAACCACGAACCTTGCAGTAAACAGTCATACAAGCCATCTTAGAGTAATGGTCTGTTTGAGCTCATAGCTTTGAAATTGGTAATGAGATGACTGTGCACAAAGGTGGACATTCTATCATTCTTAGCTGATTGGAGTTCTCAAGAATAACAAATATCAGAGGATGGCTGTTAATTTTACGACATTTTTAAAAATAGATCTCT